AAAAATTTAAAAAAAAGTATCAAGGAAATTGTCCCGCTTTTAACTCATTGCATGTGAATCAATATGTGATTCTGAAATTTACGTGAACATAAAAAGTTTGAAAAATGGTAGGTAGCGGAGTTACTTCTTATTTACTCCGTTTTTCGACGAAATAACTCATTCGTTATGACACTAAATATTATGATTCTGATCAGAATTGCAATTAGTCGTCGTGAAAATGATTTAAATTGAAGTTGTAGCTATACATAGAGGCCAGAAAATCTTGTCTGTTGCAGCGTGAGCCCGCTAGCTGCAGATCATGGAGAGGACGAGAAAGTTTTAAAAAACAAAAACAGTAGTAGTACTAGAAAGAAAACGAGGAACGCGCCCTGTCGAACTTTCTCACTAAAAACTTCTCAATAGCTATCATCTAATATATTCCATTAATGTAAATACATCATCATCATGTTTTGTTAATCAATCCAATAAATGTTATATAGTTCAAATCGATGATCATTATAGATATTTATTGTTAAATATATTGTATGCCAAACCCGGAAACAAGAGTAAGGTTGGTCTTACTGCTTCTAATCATTCAGAACACAGCAAGGTAAGTGATACCTTCCCTTGATCCATTTTTTGGAAGTAGTGACGCCTCCAGTATAGAATACTATTGTCCTTCTACTTCTCTAGATTTTAATCCAATCAGCCGAATTATATTTTTTGAAAAATTTGCCAACATGAAATGTGTTATTAATTTCATAGAATTGTACAAAAACGAAAACAAAAAGATTTAAAAAATTATCCACCTAATCATAATTTTGCAACTCTATTTTATTTTTAAAGATTTCATGATCTCTTTTTCTACAAAATTGAGCTTCAAATATCAACAAATTCCTATCACTAGAGTTTTTAAAGTAAAATTTATATGAATTTATTTTTTAAATAGATTTTTATATTTAAAAACATTACAATGAATTTAGTTCAATAATTAGCAACTTTTTATTAGGATTTGCTAGTTGTGACTTACATGTAGTAAATCATGGTATCTAAAATGCGCAGTGCGCCAAAATTTTATTTATTATTCCAATTCGCGTTATAATCACCTTCTATAGTTACTATATCAGATGAATCGATGAGAGCCTTCGGGCTGGTTCAGCAAGACAAGGTCCTATGTCCAGTTGTCACTGTAAGTTTACTCTTGTCGAATAAAAAGGCAAATAGTAACTCTCTTACCACCAGCTTTTATCTTTGTCAGATAATTAACATTTTACATTAAACTCATAAGCAATTCACGAGATCATTAGTAATCTGCGTTAAGTGATGTAAAGAGTTTTACGAAAAAAAAATGGTAAGGCATTCACGCTTTCACGAAGTTAATAATTTTTAACTTTAATTACAATTTTAGTTTCATAAAAAATATTGTAAACATAATTACAGATGAAAGCATTATATTATTACCTCACTAATGCCCACTGTTTCGTTTCTTTCTTTCTCTAGAGTTCTTTTACCCCATAGTGAAATTTATATTTCAATATTTGATTCTTATGTGAGATATTTAATTTAAAATTATATGGACCATTACGATTTATTAACAATTTAAACATCATTAAATTTTGAAATGTCTATTTTGAGGTGTCCCAAAAAGCAAAGACGTGAAAGCATTAAACATGATTCAGACATCCATTGTTAACTATTAGACATCATTTTAAACACCTATTGTAAACTATTAGAAACAATTTCAGACATCTCTAGTCAATTAACAGACAGTATTACAGACATTAATTTATATTTCATCAAGTCAAGAAAATTAATTAAGGCAAGTAATGGATGGAAAATAAATTGCAAGTTATCACTACAATTGATTTTAAATAAGTGTCTGTTTAAGTCATCACTCACTATTAAAGGGAGAACAGAAATTTACATTTTAATTTTGCAGAACTTGGATAAATTAAACTAGTCTTTTTCACTTGCGAAATAAAACTACTTTTTATTTAAAAAAAAAAAAAAATTGTATTTTCTCTTTGCCAATCTAATCCATTTTCAAAAGTTAGCATTTGTGTACAAATTTTGTGTTTTGTCATGAAAA